CCACCAACACAACATCACACACACACACACACACACACACACACACACACACACACACACACACACACACACACACACACACACACACACACACACACACACACCTTTTAGAGGCATTAGTACTTTGTGGCTTCAAGACAGTCTGAGATAGAGTTTGGATGTGGGTCTATCCTTTCATGATCACACATCGACCCATGGAAGGAAGAAGAAAAAAAACGACACAAACATGGCTGCATGTTGTAAATGTAAACCGACACTTCCATAGCTGCATCAAAGCGTTTTCATTATCTTCATTTAGGAGAAATCAGAGAGATGTGGCCTGTGTGTTATTGCAGCTGTTATCATCAGAGTGGAAGGTGCTCTTTGCTGATGGCAATTAATGACTGATTCTCTGACCATCCTCACACCACACATGCACACACGCACAGGGACACACACTTGATTAACACTTCACCATTAAATTAATCTAGTTCAAAAGCTAGCATTGCTTGTCCCACCCCTGTGGCAGTTGAGGGAATTTAAATTTCATCTGAGCTGAGTTAAAAGGACTCTGGGTACAGGTTGTAGAAGATGGTAGGAAATGTGGGTTATGTGTGACTGCACACTGCCGTGTGTGGTATGTGGTAATGCTGTTTGACCTGATGACAGATTAAAGCTTTCAAACACACGAAAACATCTGACATCCCTCTCATCTGCTTTATTCTCCACACGCCTCGTTCTAATGCGCGCGCTCACTACATCTACCAGCAACCTTTACAGAGAGGTCAAACCTTTGTTTGTGTCGACCATTTGGGCAAATTTAATTTGATTTAACCATTTAAAAGAAATATTACATTATTTGAGGCATTCATTTTTATAAATTTTTAGGAGTAACACAAAACTGAAGGCTGCGTGTACACGAGAAGAAAACAAAGGATAAAACTGCCAACCAACAATAACCAACCTACTCTAACCACATGAGGCTACAGTCATCGAAAATATTATATTGAGAATTGATAATAATATACAGTAGAGTAACGTCGTTCTTTAGAGACCTTGGACAGTTTTTTACTGGAACTACTTTCTGACAAGAAAATAGTCGCTTATTTCACTATTTCTTAATGCAGCATAATATGAGGACAGTTTCTAGATGGGGTGTTGCTGTAAATAGAATAATTGAAGTCCCTCATTAAATTACCCAGTTAAATGACTGTCATTTTCTAACATTTGAGCACCATTACAACTCGCCTGGCCATCCCTGAAGAGCGCGATCACAATCAAGAAATGAAAACATCACCATAGTACCTTGGGTGCGTTGGCAGAACGAGAACCCAGAAGCCAGGGAACAACTCCGTCAAACATGCTCAAACTCAAAGACTTCAGTAGTCTCTTTTATCAAGATCATCTATTTTAACTATATGCTCTTCCTTTCCGGCCAGTTTAACCAAACACCGCTGCGGCACACTAATCCATATAACGCTTAATATAATCACAAAAACTGGTGGCAAAACAAAGCGCGTTCAACACTATACAAACGCGACTAAGCCCTGTATAACATCTCTCTCAGAAACTAGGATAGTTTTATATATGAAGTGCACGGGCGATGAGCGAAACGACGAATGATCGAAACGACTTCAGCTCTTGAATTACAGGCTTTTATATAAGACATGTGATTCTCTTTCTCTTGTGTGTGTGTGTGTGTGTGTGTGTGTGTGTGATAAATTAAACTGGAACATATCTCTTTCTCCTGTCTCTCCAGGCGGTGGGCTACAAGTTGGCGGTGCTGCCGGTTGCTGGGGCGCTGCTGGGCGGTGTATTAGGAGGTCCACTTGGCCTGCTGGCTGGCTTCAAAGCTGCAGGGGTGGCTGCTGCTCTGGGAGGGGGCGCCCTCGGGTTCGCGGGGGGCAACCTGGTCCAGAAACACCGCAAAGCTCGCGTGGATCTACAGATGAAACAACTGACAGCACCACCACCAGAACCACCAGCTGAACCAGAGTCCAGCAAGGACAAATGACCTAACTGTCGTGGTTAGTCCTCTGACCTCAACTGCTGGCTAATCACTGAGGCTTCTGTGTTGACTGACCAATCAGAAGCACAAACTAGACTCAAAGAAACTCAGTATTTGACACTGACGCCACGCTTTGCTGTTACCAAGCACTGCCGTGAAACAATTATGTAATAACAGCCTTACTTGGGAGATGGATACTTTGATGTTTGGGTGTGAATGGCGTTTCTGTGAGGACATGAATCTAATTTTGTACAACTGATTTTTTTTTTTTTTTATTCTGAATACGGCAAAGCAGTTATTTACACTACAGCTGTTGGTGAATGGTTGAGTCAGCCCAACATAGCTGTGAGGACCACTTACTAAAAGAAGTCCTTGGCACCAAATAAATTAAGTCAGTTTAACAGTAAGAGTAACCCAATTATTCTGTCGAATGCTAGTTAGTGTGTTCCTCAAGCTTAAACCTTTTTTTTTTACCAGGGTTTGCTAGTTACAATTATAATATAATATATATATAATATAATCATGATTTAATATTCCTTTTCAAAGAAAATAAAGTTCCAATATGAACAGCTGTAATACTGAGACTACAAAAAGAAGAATGTGTGGAGAAAATAGTTTTTTGGCCTAACATAACTGTGGTGTTACATTTATTTAATAATTTAAATTAAAGTGGTACTGCTTCAGAGTTTATATATATATTGACATACAGACCTGTTTTTGTAGTTTGCAAGCGTGAGAGCAAACATTGCACAAAAAGCGCCAAAGTGCCACTGTCCAGATCACTTCAATGACTGGAGTGTTAAGAACCTGCCATGTATTGATTATACTACTGCTGGTTTACTGCCAAATAAAATGTTTCTTTCCAACAGTAATGTCATTCATTAGATAAAGAGAACAGCAAACGACAGCAGTAAAGTTCAGCGAAACGGACGCACAAAGCATCAGACGAGACAACATCCTGTAAAATGGTTTTTAATTTACTTTTTCGTTTTTTTTACTCTCCTTCCCCTCTGAGATGACTGGTTTAGAAATGGCATCATACTACCCCCTGTTGCTCTCCTGTATGTAGGCTGATATGTCACTATGCAGGCATCTGTTGGCCTCTATGGAAGGGCAGGACGCACGGTACAAACTTAGCAATGGGTCCCTGTACTCTTAAAATCTGGCTTCCACTTCTGGATTTCATTCACACTTCATTCAGTGGATCCCAGGGATCTAGACTTATACCAAAAACCTCAAAGACATATAAAGAGACAAAACCAGTTTTAAGAGGACTTGTATAAAGTGGCAGACTGTAAATTTCCACCGTTCATCACATGGGTTTTCCCCTGTCTCAACTTTTTGAAACACTGGGAAGGATGCAGTCTTTTCTCCCCCAGCATGATGACACATTTGACAACAGGTGACAGCAAAAACAACAGCCATTTCATAATTCATGATCATGTTAAAGTACACCATTTCAAAACATTTTTTTCCTCTACTTTGATTCCCAGGAAAACAACTCAAGAGGTGTTATGGCAAATACTGTGCCTATGAAAAGTACCCACCTCTCTTTGACTTATTCATATTTTACTGTTTATTAGCTTTGGATGTAATTAAACTTCAAGACACTGATCATCAGACGCTTTAATTTCCACATCAAATGTAATTTCTAGAGATTAGTGAAGGGGGGCAAAATTGGCAAAATTTCTGATTGCATATGTTTCATGTCCTTCAAGACACTTCTAAAAAGAGGCACCTTTGGCTAAAATTTCAGCCTTGAGCTTATGTGGTCTCCTCCAGCTTTCTTTTCTCAGTGAATTTACAAATGAACAGCCATCTGGAACATTAACAGGGTTGTTTTCATGTCACTTTACCTTTGAGGTTTATGTCTCCCCCTTAAATAGATTAATATACTTAAAGATTTTCCTTTAGTATTTCCCTTTGCTGCTTACATCTGACCCTTTCTACCATCACAAGCCATCCAGAGCTTGCTGCAGAGAAGCCTCCACACAGCATGATGCTGCCACCAGCAGGCTTCATGGTGGGGATAGTGTGCCGTGCTAGATTATCAAAAACCTGACTCGCTTTGACATTACAGTGTTCTGTTGATTGGTGGCAAAAAAAAAAATCCTAATTACATCCTCTCTGATTCAGTGTTGTAAAAAAAGTAAAATATGAAAAGATCCAAGGGGGCAAATATTTTTTACAAGCACTGTAAGAGACGTCATATCTATTATCATTTAGTACCAGGGAGAGAAGGGGTGCATCTCAATAGGCTGGAGTAGCTCTGTCTCTATCTTCTTGCTCAAGTCATATTTTGAAATGATGTTGACCCTAACAAATATTTCAAAAATATTTTTCTATTCCTTCAGATGTGTGTGAGTGTGTGTGTGTGAGTGTGTGTGAGAGTGTGAGTGTGTGTGTGTGTGTCTGTTTGTGTGGAGAAGATATGGAGATAAAGCTACTTCAAACAGGCATATTGTTATAACTTGTGCTATACAAATGAATTAGACTAGAGTTGGTCATATTGAGATGCAGCCATGAGGTCAGTGAGACGAAATAAGTGTCTCCTAGCAGACAGGCTGAACTGGACTACCCACAGATAAGAACCGTACAACTGGAGTGAGGGAACTGTTCTGTTTTTTTTTCCTACAAATAGCAGGGTGATGAAAAACAAAAGAATAAAATAAAGAAAACTCTGCATTTAATTTAGACCAACAATGAGATTCCCATGTAGCACAAACATATTTACAAGCTCCAAAAAATAAAAGTAAAAACACTTCTCTTGATGTCCTAATGCCCCTAACCCCCTGCCCACACACGTTTCTTCTTTATCCCCCTTTCTTTTAATCCAAAATAAAAACTGTACGTGAAAGAGTTATGAAAATATAGGTTATTCCAACATAGTTGTGTCATGGACTGTGCTCCACTCTTCTCCTCCTCCTGTCTTCTTTTTCCTCCTCCTTCCTCTTCATCCTCCTCCTCTTCCTCATCTCCATCTCCCTATCTTTCACTCTTCAGTAAGGGTGTTGGGTGTTGCTGTTCTGTCCCGTTGGCCTGTCCCAACCCTAACCCCCTCCCTGACCCCGGGGCGTGGCATTGAGTCACAGGTTCACTGGAAGGCCGTAGAGGTCACAGCTCGTCACGGTCCCGTCTGAGGATGGTGTAGCGAGTCTCGCTAGGCGCTAGCTTTTGGAACGAGCTCTCTGGAGGGCTACTGGCCACTTCACCTCCCGTCTCCTCCTGAGGATAAAAGTCAAATTCAAAACAAACAGTCAAATTTTGCATGACAGAGCAAACCCAACTTTCATTGACTCCATTGGGTCTGCTGCCGTCTGACCTGTCCAGGCGTGCTGTCTGTGGGGTCAGGACCATGGTGAAACTCTCGGTGAAGCTTTCCGGAGTGAAGGTCCAACACAAACTGTCTCAACTTGCCAGGGACACTGCAAAAAACACACAGAAACATACATTGACATGATGCAAGAAAATGAACACATGAATCTCCCAGACTTTTTTCTTGAGGCTTGTTTGTACAAACAAGTTGGATTCATCAAATTCTCTTAATGGCAAAAACTTGCTCATTTCATTTGAGTGACGCCATTTCCCAAGTATGTGCACATGTTCTGCTCTATTTCAAGGTGAGTCTCATTCACAAAAATGTCACCCAAGAGTAAAAAGACAAATTTTACACCACCGAGCTTCAGAGAGGCAATGGTTCAACATGGTGAATGTGCTTGCTTGTGCTTTTCTATACTACTGGACAAAGCACTTCACAATTTAACATCTCATTCACCCATTCACACATCAGTGGTGATGGAGCTGCAGTACAAGGCACTGGCCAAACTGAACCAACATCTGGACACAACCTGCCCTACCTAGGTGTTTTTATTCTCAAGTGTATGTGTACATTACTCATGGACAGGGCTGGACCACTAATGAATTTTGTGAATAACAAAGACCAAGAAAATCACTATCATTTGTGCGTGCCACTTAAAAGCTAAGTCATTTGTACAAGTGATTCTTGCATGAGCCGCATTAACTATGTGTCTAACAAAGACATTCCTGCAAACTACAGAGCAGGTCGGACTTAACCGTTGATGTGAGACAAAACAGTTTATGGCAGCAGCAGAGGACAGTCCCTGCGGACGTGTCACGAAGAAGCATTAATCCATATCAACGGTGTCCTGTGAAGTGTGCTTATTAACGACAGGTCATGTGCTGTTGTCATATCACACAGACGGAGCTGGTCCCCAATCACAGCTAACCCTGTCTGTCAGGACTGCATGCAGACGCAGACACACACACACACACACACACACATATATATATATATATATATATAACATACACTGCACTAATGTAATTACAAGCTGTGTGCCACATGCAGTGGTGATGTGATGCAATTAGGTTGTGGAGGCTGGTCAGTCCTCGGGGCTTCTGTCTATCTGATCAGACTCTGATTGGGGACTCGGGGAGGCAGAGTGGAGGGGGGCAGAATAAATAAGATTAAATTAGATTAGACTGGATTAGTTTAGCATTTATTGCACGTGCCAAATCACGTCACATTAGCTCTGGTGTCCTGGCCCATTCATAAAGGACAGATTTTAAGAGGTGTGACATTTCACTGGTGTTCAGTGCACAGTGGATTGTGGTGTGGTGTGGTTTGGTGTGTGTGTGTGTGTGTGCGCGCGTTTGTGTGTGTGTGTGTGTGTGTGTGGCTGTAATGAAATTAACTTTATTTAAGGAGATCCTGTTATGAACAATTCCACATAGGGGTAAGTGATATAATTTAGCTCATCAGCATCATGCAATAACTGTTCAAAACTGTCCAAAAGTGCTGAATATATCACACCTATTTGACATGTGGATGATTCATGTTGTTAATCACAGCTGCATCTGTGGTGAGTTTTCATTTATATTTGGGTATTTCTTTTTGCAATTAAGGGTTACCAACCCATAATTCTAGTGTTTGGACGGAGGACACGTGTAGTGGAATAACATGAAACGATACTGCATGCAGTCAACAATCTATTCTAAGTACTACATTTCTGCACAAAAACTGTGCATCCACATGCAAAACAATATAATTTCATAGACAAAGTGAAAGGTAGTACTTACGTGAGGTCTTTAAATTCAGGAAAGACATACATATGTCTGAATGAGTCTATAGCAATGACGGGACAGTCAGCTGGGGTTTTCTGGATGTGGAGCAGAGGATGGCGGAACTTATCACAGTCTGCATGAAGGAAGTTTATAGACCCTGAGGAGGAGAGAGCAAACACTGTCACCAATGTCACAAACACCATTTCTGTACAAAAGGCTTTTGGTTCTAGACTAAAAATCATAATCCTGACAGGTACATAATTTCACAAACGCTCACCTTTCTCGCTGATGAGCTGGCGAGCTACTTCATGTTGGAATTTCTCTAAACTCTCTGTGTCCTCTTTGATATGGAACAAGATCAGGAAAGGGATCCCTTCTTCAGTCAGTTCCTGGAAAACACACATCACACCAATAAACACACAAAGTGTCAAAAACAGATGGAGTCAGGGCCTTTCTGTGGCTCAGCAGATGGACTATCCACAGACACCCATGGATATCCTGTAGGCTGTTTTTCAGTTTAAAGATCTATGTATAGCTACATATCCATATTTATGCATCTAACCTCAGACCAAAAAAGCCAAAAAAAAAAAAGCAACAGATTATCATCATGCTGATAATGCTTTATAAGCAAAAGCAGAAAACAAACCTCTCCATTTTCAAAGGTGATCTCCCTGACCAGAGGCACACACTTGTCCTGGACCCAAGCGTAGGTCAGGTCAAAGTTGGCAAGTGAGCCGAGGTAGATCATGTCAGGTACACTCTCGCCCACAGGTTTGTAGATCACATTGTCTCCACTGAAGCGCTCAGACTCAGAGATGGCGCTAGAAGACAAAGCGGTTAAGAAAACTTTAACATAGCAAATATAAACAGAGGAAGAACATTACAACAATGGCTAATATATGGTCTCCACACGGGTCTAAAGATGGTATGTGACTCACCCAAAGGCAGCCAAGAACGTGCAGTCATCTCGAAGAATGTTGGCAACTTTTTCATATGTGCGGTAGCTATCAGAGTCCTTTTGTTCAAAGTAACCTATGATGTTTCTCTTGGCCCTCTGTTCAATAAGAAAGCAAAAGTGTTAAGAAAATAACTGATACAATTTTATTTCATGATGTGGAAATTTGTATTTTTATAGCCTGTGTATTTCCCACTTACATCCAAAGTGTTAACCTCCTCCATTGAGTGCATTTCTTTCACCGGGTCAACCTGCTGCTGGCGGATGAAGTCAGCAATGGCCACTACCGACCTCTGACCCCTGTACTCCCTCTTCATCATCATCCCATTGCGGAACAACTTCAACGTCGGGTACTTGGTGATGCGGTACCGCTGGGCAATGTCCGCTACACACCGAGGCAGAGGAGAAGTTAAGTAAAGAAGGACAAATCAATTGATGAAGAGGAGGAAGCAGAATAAAAACACATGGGGATGGGTGGATGAGGAGCAGAGCAGTGACAGAGATGGCGGTTAAACCTCAGTCTGAAAACACTGCCTTCAGTCAGCTCAGAGCTCTGATCTCCCACATGAAAGCTGCCCCCCGCTAAGAGTAAATACTCTCTCTGCACACAGTGAATGAGTGTGTGTTTGTGTGTGCATGTGGCAGGTGTCAATCTCCCTGCGGGGCGTCTCTAAGCCTCCAGTCTTCACAGGAAGCAGCAGTTTTGTCATTAGTCTTCAAACAGTTTGCAGGTCATCAATAATTCTCTTTAATTTGCTTTATCTCAAAAGGCTGAGGCTGGCGGTTTATGTGTCTGTGCTTTGGTGTGCTGGGCATCTATGTGTACATATGTGCATCAAATATAGTAAGACTGTGTGCGTGTGTCTTTTTTGTTTCCTGTATATAGAACTAGGATGTTATAGCAGTTGAGGGCATTGGATCACCATCAACAATCACCACCATATATACATAGAATACATATATTAAGAATTATAATAATTTGGATAACAGACTCATCATTTTAGCAGCTGGAATGTAAAAATAGATACGTTTTCCAGTTTCAGCTTCAAAACTACTAATATTACTTTCTTTGTTTCAGATCATTATGACATAAATCTTGTGATAAGCGTCTCATTATTTTTTCATATTATAAGTTAAAAACGATCAATAAAAGTGTATGTATTACTTGTATCTATACGTTTTTGATTGGTACTTTTCTTGACAATGTTAGAAAGACAACAAAATACTGACAAAAAGGTAAGTTAAACTCACAGTGTTGGTCACAGTCGACGCGGGCAAACACCACCTGCTTGGTATCAGGGAACTCCTCCCGCACTACATTAGATGCCTCCTCAAAAATTGGATGGAGCATCTGACTGAACCTACACCTGCAGGGGGGGATGGGGTAGTGGTGTCAGGTCAAGAGGCTTTCCATAATTTGTAAGTAAATTAAGTAAATTTTCTTTTACTCCACTAGACTAAAATGTTCAGAATAAATAAAGAAAATCTCCAACGCAAATGACACTAATCTAATCATTTTTATGGCACCATGTGGCTTCAATAAGAAATGTTTAAACATTACTTACATAATATACATATATAGGTGGCAGAGAAACAACACACTTACCAATCTGCGTAAAAATTCACTAATGCCACCCCAGCATTATCTGCAAGAAAACACACAGACCAACAGAAGGTAAATATAACACACTACACATTACTGAATACACTCATTTATGTATATTTTGCTACTAAAATTAATTAATTAGACTAATTAATCTTAAACTGCCCAGTTTTCTGTCCATGAATGGAAAAAAAAGAAAACAGAAAAGCACATAGAGCATGACCAGTGACTCATGGCCACATAAATTTATCCATCACACCACAGACTGGTGGAATGTGAACATCTACAACAATGTGGCAATCATAAGAAAACAGTACACCAAAAACCAATGAATGAATAAGTTTCCTTCAGGTCATCCAAAAGGAACACTTTGCCTCTTGACCTCATAGTTTAGGAGTTACAAGAAAATGTAAAGCGTCAGGTAAATTGGTGCTATCCACACCAACAACTAATTACATTATGGTCCAAGATCTTCCTTAGCAGACGAATTTAACTTAAGTCTGTTAATTTATATTTTTGTGATAGCCTGCTAACTAAAAGGGAGACATGTTAACATTCTGAAAAACTGCACTGAAACATAACATCCTTAGCAGAGCTACAAAAGATAAATAAATGCATGGGCGTCTCTTAAAGACAACTGAGAAAAAATAGTGAAAGTGAAAGAACACCTGAAAGGAATAGTTGGGAAATACTATAATTTGCTTTCCTATCCACAGTTAGATCACAAAGAAATACAAGGAAATGAGTATCAAGCTAAGCCAACCAGCTGCTACCTGTAGCTTCTCATGGTGGTGGTATTTTCTTACATCTCTCACTCTTAGCAAGAAAACAGATACGCACATTTACCAATGTCAAACTAATTCCTTTAAGACACTTCCAAAGAGTAAAATGTGACTTCTTACTTAGGACGTCATCAATGTTGCCAGAGTCCAGACTGGTGATTTCTGCTAGTCCTGGAGTAGAGAGGCCCATCACCTGCAGATACACAGATAAAAGCAGTTAAACCAGATCAGCAATTAAACCATAAAACACAGAGACAAAGGACTCTGATAATAGTTGACTAAAGACAGTGAACAAACTTGTCTGTCAGCATACTGTTAACTAGCATATCTACAAACTGAATCAGCTGAGCACCAGCTTTTGCTATGTGAAATAAACAGTATTACTGAACTAATGTCTTGGCACCCATAGGAAACTAAGGTATTTTTTCATGCAATTCTAACAATGTAGAACAGTGAAAGCAAACAGATCCAGTCTCCAGCAGCATGCAGTGATGTAGGTTTGTAATGGAGAATTGCATTCTCATTCTTTAAGTCACTCTTCTCAAAAAATGTGGTCATTACTGTGCAATCACACGATACTGCACACATTTTTGAGAACATCCTCTTTTTGTCAGTTTCTCTTATCTTTTAAAATACATGTGCTAGAAATATAAAAAGTGTAATACTAGTTACCAAAAACAATGGGATTCCAATGAAATTCCAAGTTACACCTTGAGCAGGGTGATAAAGAGTTTTCCAAGATCCAATTATTTAACACTGTTACCAAAACCTCAAAATAAACTGAGGTTTGGTCTTAAACATAGCATGGCCCTAAATCAACAGCATCTCCTGTGTGGTAAATGTCAAAACAGAAAAAAATTTAAATAAAAGGAGCACATTACAGTTGTTATCTCCATTGCCATATATCATTGACATAACATTAGTTGTTGCCTGGGGAACTATTTTTTGTGTTAGGAAAATAATATTTTGCAGACATCCATTCATCTTTCCTATATCTCCCTCGCTGGACCACTCAAACAAGAATAAGGTTGTAATTATGATGTACCAAGTGGGGATTTCTGAATTCCTGCTCTGATTTCAGCGCTGTAAAAGAATCCTGTATGAAAGGGATCGGCATAAAGAAAATTTAAGGCCTAAAATGGCATTCACTGGAGGATGAAATGAGGGACAGAACACCAAAGCTGGAGAGGTGCTGACTGCCAACTGAAAACACAGAGAAACAAATAAACAGGGCAATTGTAGTCTGAATTAATTGTTTTATTAAAAAGAGCCTACATTTAACAATGCAGGCACCATGACAGAAGAAGACCAAAGACGACTGTATTACTACAACCTTCACTCTGTTAGCAAATTATTTCATCATGGCTATAAGTGCAATTTTTCTGCTTCAAATTAACACCCACTGCCCTATAACATTACAATACTTTAAACGTCTGCCTGCACTATCTATTTATCTGCAGTGATCTGGGCTGAGATCCTCTTCAAACAGGATATAAGACAAAGACAGTCTTCCTCCTTGGGGGTGTGACAAACACAAATATCAATACAGGTTCTAAGACAGCAATTCATCAAACAGTGACACAGGCTGAGCTGGTGCTGCTTCATGCATTTCTGGGTTACCTGAATATGTGACTGAACTTTTACACACACACACACACACACACACACACACACACACACACACACACAACCCAGTAGTCAGAGTTTAACTATTACTTAGTTTAGTGTTGTCTTGATATAGAATTAGGGCAGGAACAAACTATTAACTTGGTTATTAATTCATCTGTTGATTATGTCCTCGATTATATGATTCATAATCTAGACTATGAAATTTCAAAATAGTTCAAAAGGGTTCATCACAGTTTCTCAGAGCTCAGGATGACGTCCTCAGCTTGCTTCATTTGTCCAAAAAAAGGGCCATACTCAATTTTCAATGATACAGGACAAAGAAAGAAGTAAATCTTCACACCTGAGAAGCAGGGCAAATGAATGTTTCATATTTTATGCTTGAAAATTGTGGAACAATAAATAGATTGTCAAAATAGTTAGAAATTATTCTTCTGTCAATTGATTCATTGTTTAATTAGGGCTGCAACCAAAATTATCTGTTAATCTGTTGAATATTTTCTAGATTAATATGTTAGATGTTTGGTCTATAAAATATCAGAAAATGGTGAAAGAAACCCATCACAATTTCTCAAAACCCAAGACGATGTCTTCAAATGTCTTCTTTTGTCTTCACATTGTCACATTAGGCAGACCAACAGTCCAAAAAAAAACCCAGAGGTGTTCAATTTACTGTCATACTTGATGAAGAAAAGCATCAAATCTTTACATTTGAGAAGCTGGAACTAGAGAATACTGCCATTTTGTTCTTTAGAATGACTCAAAACAAGTAATTCATTAACAAAATAGTTGCTGATAAATATTCAGTTGATCAACTAAGCAATTGTTGCAATTCTGTAGAGAATGCTTCCTGATTACCTTTTCAAATTAAACCTTCTCAACATTGAGGACAAAAGGCCTGTGACGTCCCCATTCACCATGCAGTATGACACAGCTGCAGACTGATATGAAATGTCACAGTTACCGCTGTTAAACCCGTGAAGACATTTCTCTGCAGCTCAGAGAGAAGTTTTAAGTTTTCATTACAGGCCCAAACTGCGCTCTGTGTAGTTCCGGGTTGTCAGCCAATAAGAATGAGCCACAACAGAGGAATTCACCAACCGGCGAGCATCATTCAGAGACACACGAAGAGTCCAACAATAACTTTATGCATCTGTACAACAGTAAATGTTAAGCCTGAGCGAACACAATAGGCCAACTCATTCAATTATCAAAAGGTTTCAACTAACCGTGCTAGAAATTAGCATCTATCTGCCTATCTACCTACTGGCAGTATGTCATGGCACTCAATGCTAGCTGCTTCACTCCAACAAAGTTTGTCCTACTTCAGCTCATTTTTCAAAGTTTAGAATATGCAAATGAGAAACATGTCAATTATATAAGATGGATTATGGCTGGTTATAATACCACAGCTATCGTTACTTAACACTACCGGCTGAGTTGACACTGCAGCTGGATAACTCGATTAGTTATGGAGGTCGCTAGGTGAAACACGGTTCAAAGGCCTGTTCGGTGAACCTGGTAAATGCCCGCCGCTCCAGCGTAGAGTGAGCCGGCTCTCTGGTCACCTTTGCCACTTTAAAAGCCACGTCTCATGCCAGCAGAGACTCATCGGTTAGCTAGCAGCTAACCAGCGTTAGCTTAAAGCGGCTAACTGTTAGAGCGAGGTACAAAGCTGAGACACGGAGGCTTACCAGCAGTATAACCGTGACGAAGCGGGTATCCAGAGAGGGAGATGCTGCTAAAAGTTTCATTGTACAGTAGAGTTATTTTGGAGGTGGTAGTGGTGGTGTTGAGTCTTCCCAGTCTGTCTCGACGCCGCTCTTCTCACCGCAGCAGGAAACCGACGGCGAACCAATCTCACTGTGACCACGGAAACGCGAGTGATGCTTCCTGTTAGTCCTTTGGCTTCATGGGTAATGTAGTTCAAAGGAGTAGGTGAAAGGACTGAGGTGGACGATGTGGAAAACTGCAATAATGGCGATTTATTGCTGTGCAGCTGTGATGGGAGTTGTAGTATTTTGTGACCCAGACGGTGGAGAGATTCAACGGGACGCCTGGGAAGAAAACTTTCCAAAGACTTTCATCTGGAGGAAAGAGAATCAAACGGTAAATATAACACCGACGAAGGAGAAGTGGAAGTAACATTTCATCAAAATACAATAACATTAACAGTATATTCAGTTTATTCAATGTCACACTCTTTGTAGTTCTTTACTACGCTTATGAATAACTGATTTCTCTTGAACAGGGGGGAGTTGCATCATTATGACTTTTTGTAATGCTCTCTTCGTCCTATTTTCAGCATTGAACAATGCGTTTTATGGCACCGAGTGTTAGTTAGAAAACCTTGAGGTACTCTGATGCACAACTCTCTCAAAATCCATTTTATCCCTAAATCCAGCAAAATTGTATGTTTAGTTGCAGTGGTGGAAGAAGTACTCAGATCATTTACTTGAGTGAAAGTGGCAATAACGCACTGTAAAAATACTTTTAATACAAGTAAAAGCCCTGCATTCAAAACTCTGCTTGAGTAAAGGTATAATTGTATTACCAGCATTATGCATAACGGTCCAAAAATCCTGAAAGAACATTGTTTAGAAATAATGTGCACACGAGATATTACTTTTGTAAAACAAGAGTAATTTCTTTTCTCTTTTTCAAGAGAGCTCCCATTAGCTTGTTGCAACTTTCTCTTATTTATGAGCTCATGTAAATCACAGCACAGCTTTCCACCACTCCACCCTAACTAGGTCCATTCAGCATCAAACATAACTGAAAACACCTGTGTGGGTGTGCAAGCCTGTAGCTATAATGATGCATTGTACTTTATAAGATAATCATATGTTTTCTATGTAAAATCTAAAGTCATCAGATAAATGTAGTGCAGTAGAACGTACAATACTTCTCTCCAAGATGTAACAGAGAAAATACCATAATTTGAAATACTCAAGTAAACTACAAGTACCTAAATGTTGTACTTAAGTAGAGTAATTGAGTAAATGTATTTGGTTACTTTCTACCACTGTTTAGTTGTTTCTTAATGAAACATAGCTCAAAACAAAGACTAATACTTAAACAAAAGATTGTTGCACCTCATTAGATTAGATTAGACCGACGAACAAAAACAATCCATCATTCTGAGGCATCCTCCCTCTGTCTGTGACCACTACAGTAGCAGTATTACGCTGGCAGTTATTTGTGTGAACAGGTGGGCCGGTCTCAGTATGTGAGTGATCCTCTTTCTCTAACCTGGCAGGAGCCAGGATCAGAGCAGGTAGGGGACCTGGACGTGCATCCATAGCCACCAAGGATGCACTGAACTGGGAAACATCTGCTGAAGTGTCCCCTTCAACGCAGTCATGGTAAGAATCAAACACACGGAGAACAGCAACCCAGATTTCATTTAGGGTTATAAATCCCAGAGGAGTTTTATTTTCTATTGTTACTTGCTGTATCTATTGGTTACTTTGGTGTCTCCCCTGTACTACCAGTTTGTAATTCTCTCTCAAGAGTCAACACAGCCTAATTGTTAAGGAGATTAAGGTGTAATGTTGAATTGAATCCCGACATTAATATTTTATGGGCTAAAGCTGTCCATAGGGGGTTCACAGTGTGTGTGCAACTCACAGATGGAGTTAGAGGAAGATCTCTCTCTGCTTGTCTGAATATCAGTGATGGAGAGACAGAGGAGCAGAATGTCCCTCTTTAGTTGTTAATCCTAGGAAATAAGAACAAAATAAACATCACAGCAACCAGAAAATCCTTCTCCAGTATTGATTTATATCATTAAAGCTGCTGAGGTATGAAAAATCACTTGTTAAGTTATTGCCTTTAAATTTAGGGTTATTTAAATTCAAACTGGAACATTTTTTTGGTGCAGTTCTTAAATATTTCAGGAATCACATTTATTTTTAGTTTAGACAACAAACTTGTATGTCACAAGTAAAGATAAAATGAAAGACAAAATATGATTATTGTGATAGATGATGACAAATACAAATATACAGCTGACCTACAGTTTACACCCAGCTGCCAGTATATCAGGTTATAATGTTTAGTTTTTGTTGAAACTGTTATAGATCAATATTGCTGTATTGCAATATATATAGAAGTATTTCTGATATTCAGCCCATTGTTACTGAGTGAAATGGGGTGGACAAATTGATAGACACACATCAGTATAAAGCAATACAATTCAACAGCAACAGAAAGTACATCCTCCAAAACAACCACATAGTTTAATCAACACCTGTTTCTGAAAACTCAGCCGTACATGAAGGTAGGATTTATTGCAGGGCTCTTGCATTACACTGCATTAGTTTTAGCTGGGTGTATTTAAACTGGCAGTATGTTAGTACTATAAGTTCACTCTTATTTTATTTGTATAAACAAAGTATTGGCATTCAGATCTACTTAAGTCAAAGTTAAAAGCAGCCAATTTGAAATTATTCCAAGTAAAAGTTGCAGAATTTAATTTCAAACTGGATAGTTAGCACTAGAATAGTCAGACAGAACTGTTCTCATAGAAAAAACTTTTTTTTTTCTTTGTACTGAACTGTACTTTAATTAGTGGACATGGATCTTAGCATTGTTCTGGCTGATTTTTTTTCTAAAACTTTCATGTAAAGGCCTTTATTCTGATTTTGAAGTGTATAATTCTGTCAGAAGCCTTTATAGCTGCAGATAGAAAATTAGACAAATGAAGCCAAAAAGCTGTCAGGAGTCTGATAAGTTTTAAAGGGCTCTAATAATTTATTTCATTACTGATTGATGTAATGATTTTCTTTTGATTGACTGTTGTTTAGTCTATAAATATCTCTATAAATACCGGCAGATGCATTTGACAAATTAATGTGATGTCTTCAATGTGTGCATTGTCCAATACACTATTTTCTGAGGTAACCTTGTCTGAAGAAGTAATGCACTGTGTCCTATCACACGACACACAGTACACACCCATACCACTGTCCCTGCACTCTGATTTCATCTGACCATCCTCACCCTATTTTATCCTCTCCTCCCTTTTCTGTTTTCTCCATCTTTTTCCATTTCTCATTGCTCGCATTGATTTTTTTGTTTGTTTTTCCAGCTGATTATGTCCCTGTACTCTGATTCGCCGATGGGCACATAGCTCTCTGCACTTTAATTGGACATTTAATTAGATCACAGTTTTAGTCCAATTAGACTCAGAAGTGTGGTGGAAAGGGGGAATGGAGGTGAGAAGAGGCAAAAGTCCCCAAGCTGGTCTCTCTGTCTCCCTTCCTCCTTCTCGTTCTCTCCCGCTCTCCCCTCCTCACTCTTTTTCTTCATCTGATTTTTTCTGTCCGCCTCGCTGTCTCTCTCCCCCTCCCTCCTGAGGGCGGCTCATTAGTGATATAATGGGATGACACAAAACACACAGCCCCTAATTCTCAGAGTGTCTCTAGCAGCAGCCGAACCACACACACACATACACACACACAGGCCCACACGCCCACACACACAAGTTGACAGGAACTGTATGTGCTCACTGTTGCAGAACTTGTGTGGTTGTTTTAAGGGAGTGTTTCGTTATAAACTCTTGCCCTCTTCCTCCCATTTGGTACTGAAGCCATGAAGGGGTAAGCAAAAGTGTTTTGAGACAGATCCTGGGTGTTATTAGTGCCTCTGATTAATCTCCAGCACTGCCTGACAGTCTGCCAGTCACAGCAGCATCGACCAGCCCACACACACAAACACACACACACACACCACAAACATTAAGGACATGCTGAGCAGAACCCTATCGACTCAGTGGAGTGCTCCGGTATGATATCACTACACCTAATGAGACTAAGATAAGCCTCATTACCAGCAGCGCGCCCTTACATGCTAGTCAAATACAGGGCTATTCTGCACCAGTTTTAGCTCCCCTATGGTTCCACCCTCTTCTCCCTTTTGTTGTCATAGTCTTTGCACAGAGCTCAGACTCAAAGCATAAACAACACTGTGTCCCAGTGGGTGAAAACACATGGGCAAATGTAAACACACACTAACACACACCCAGATGTATGCGGATATGCACACACTTACGCTCAGGTGTAAGTCCTCGGAGGACACAAGTCAATCTCGGTGTCCCTGGAGCAGTCACACACACACCCCTCCTACCCTCCACCCCCAAGAGAAAGATACCAGACTACTGTGTCTCCTACTCTACACACACACACACACACACACACACACACACACACACACACACACACACACACAGACACACACACTTATATATCCAACACTAATTTGCGTGTTCCCTCTCTTTATGTCTATGTATGTATAGGTGTGTGCATATATAGATGGTCTGTGTGAACGACAGGCAGCAAGCAGGGGTGTTTTAGCCACAGGCGTCACTACCTGACCCCCGTGGCTATGAGATTGACAGCTGTGGTCCCGCCTAATTGCATTACTCTCCCAGGTGATTGGCTCACACCCTGGGGGCTCATTTGTCAGAATGCATTGTGGTAATGATGTAAATTAGCAGATCTATGTGTCACTCAGCCTTCTCCCCCCCTGCTGATTGGCCCCGCTGTGCCCCAGGACTCGGCCCCCAGCTGAGGGAGCCAGCTCATTGGTCCTTGGGGATCCAGGAAGTCCCCCAGAAATAGGGCTTTACAGATTGGGCATCCCTGTGGGCTGATATTATCCTTCCTCCCACCTCTTTACCTGTCAGTCAAAACCCAGGGACCGATCCCTGCAGCCTCTATCACGTATCTGAAACATAGATACACACATACACACACACACACACACACACACACACACACACACACACACTCGCACACACACACACACACACACACACTCGCACACACACACACCCACGCAGAGAGA